TTTTTTAACGGTGAATTACATAGTCGTGAATAGAATTATTACTGAACAGAGGAAGAATGCAAAATAGAATATGGCATAAAGAAAAGGAAAACTATTGGAAAAATAACGAAGAAGAAAAAAAGCTGTCATTTTTAACAGAAAAAACTAAAAACAAAAAAGTCTATTATAAATTTTGTTATATTATTGTCGTTATATGCATTGAATAATCCCCCCTGCTCATCTCACATGATCTGTTTGCCATTACCACATCTAAGACATAGATCGATTTAAAAAAGGGTCAAGTATGGATTTAAATGGTCAATTTATGAAACGTGGTGATAATGATGATAATATAATCAAAACGAAATCTGATTCAGGTAAGTTTTGTTTAAATGAAAAGTTAATCCGATAAAAACGTTATTATTATTATTGTGTTTTCTTCATATGATCTGAAAATTTTAAGAAGAAGTCGTTTGTTACTTTTGAAATTTTTTTATTTCATTTTGAAGAGAAGAGAGGAAATTACTTATTGTTTGGTATCTTTGATAGTATAAAAGCACGGTAAATGTATTACCCTCCTATTTCTCTGCTCTTTTTATCTAAATCTAAATGTTTTCTTTCCATTGAGCATATATCCAAAACAGGAAGTTAATTTAGTCTGTAACTCCTTTGTATGATTTAGTTTTGTTGTAATGATACTATTTTATTAAACATTCACTAACTGGATATTTTACAAAAAACGACGAAACCTCGCTAACTCCTTTTACTTTTATGACTTGTTGATGGAAGAGGAAGAGAAAAATGAAATATTGACTAATTAATTTTTTTTATGTATCAGGTTTCCTCGAAATCTAATATAATATGGTATTAGCAAGCTAAAATATATCTCTTACAGATGATGTATTTCATGTAAATCATAGTATTTTTGTTCGATTGAATTCATGATATCAAGACTCTTCTATTACTTCCTCGAAGCTAATTGTATTCTGTTTCTTAGTGCTTTCATACTGTCATGCTAAATAGTTGAGCTATTTTCCGAAGTTTAATTAGTATTCATCATATATCTTGAGAGGTTTCAAAGAAACAGAACTTAAATCTAGTTTAACATATTAAAAGTCTCAAATTCTTGTGAGGTTAGAGCAACTTTTTTGCATTATTGTATGCAGGTCGTGCTCCGACGGTAATCATTGTTGGAATTGTCGCATCAGTTACTGGACTCTTAGTGATTGTTTTTCTCACGCGTTATTGGCGATACTATGGTCGTCGACGAAAAGAGGGTGAGGATATGTCGTATAGTGTAGCACGTTATTGGCGTAAACAACTTGGATCATCGTCATGTGACAGTTTAACAGCAGCACCACAACATACAAAACAACCAGACTATTACCAAGATCAGAAAGTATTATCTCAATTTTCTCGCATTAAAAATAGTTTTTCATGGCCAGAATCAGCAGATCAAACAATATTCGATCGTAAAGGCAATGGTATAAATACATCATTAACAGCCGTATCCCTTTCGCCATCATCCTCATTAAGCAACATCATTACACCAACAACTCCACCACCGTCTCTCACGTTCAGTTTACGTTACGACTCATCAACTTCAATATTATATTTAAGAATAATAAGTGCACAAGATTTAACATCATCATATAGAAAACTCAAATCATCAATAACAACAATACTTGATTCTTATGTACGTGTCGTATTATTACCAGAAAAGACTCAAAAATTAAAAACACGTATCATTAAAAAGACGGCACAACCATTTTATGATGAAACACTTGAATTCAATAATATCAAAGGAGAAGAACAAAGTTTGTTATTTACTGTGTCGAGTTACGATACATTTACAAGAGATGAAATACTTGGAGAATTGTTATTTCCATTAAACAGTAGTATATTGAATTTAGCCACGATGGAAAAAGAAATAACATTTACAAAAGATATTATGTCACGATACAAACAAGTATGTTCTAGATTAGCTTTTTCAAAAAACAATCTAATTCTATCTTTAACTTTCAGTTATCCATACAAGAGTTAGGAGAGGTTTTGATATCATTGTCGTATCAGCCATCCATTGGTACAATAACCATCATTGTTTTAAAAGTAACGAATTTACCACAGATCGGAGCATCTCGATTGATAAGTATGTTGTGTTACAAAGAGATATGAATCTTTCAAATTTATGATTGTATTTTTATATTTTAGATCCTTATTTCAAAATATATATGTTGTATAAAGATCAACGTATTGTTAAAAAACGAAGCACTATAAAACGTAGTACACATAATCCAGTGTTTAATGAGTGTTTTACATTTTCAATACCATCAAATGATATTAAAAATATTCGTTTTGAATTGATTATATTTGATTTTGATCGACATATGAAACATGAACCAATTGGAAAATGTGATATTGGTGGTGAACAACGTCAACACTATGATGAAAAGAAACTGGTAAATGAAAAACATTGGAATGATATTTGTCATCAACCGACAAAACAAATAGCCAGTTGGTATCAACTAAATTCAGTTTATTAAATGATTATTGTTTATTTGAAATATCAATCAAACTTTATTCTCTAGTTGTTGTTTTTGTATTTGTATCTAGTTGATAAGATCGATGCTTAATTTAATTGTATATATATATTATATATATATATAGGGAGAGATATTTAATGAACATAAAAATAAATCAATCATAGTTCCCTTGTTGCTCAATAAAATAAACATGAACAGGCACTCTAATATAATCAATATTCTATTGTCTGAAACAGAATAGATAGTTTTTTTCTTTTGGCATAGACGCCCACATTTCTTGACAATTCTCTTTTGAGATATTTAATAAAGATTAGTTGTAATGAAAGAACTAATTGACAAATTGAGTTTCAAGATAATTGGTTTATTGAAAAAAAATGTCAATTTAAGAATACAATAACATTTTAAAAAATATTGTAGATGTAACATTGTGAAGGCAACGATATTTTACTGGTAAATTATACTTGTCAGAAACGATGATTTCTCTTTCAATACTCCTTCAAATAACTCTTCAATACTCTTGTATATATCGGCATTCAAGCCAATTCGAATATGTTTTCCATTTAAAAATAAATCTTATAATAATCAAGCTTAAAAAACTTCAAATTACATTAGTACAGTGTTACTGTTACTTAAAAACTATATCCTTTTTTAGATGTCTATTCTGTCACATCAACAGTTTTTGAAAAATCTGCTGAACAACATTCTGCCCATCATATTCAAACGCCAAATACGCACTGGTGGTGGTGCTGATAGAAGATTAACTGTTGAAGACTTTATTATACCAGAAAAACAGCCGACGGTTTTAGATCGTTATGCAAATACATTTCGTCGAGAAATCGAAAGTGAACAAGAAACATTGGCCACACTTACTTCGAAAAATAAATCCTTACAGTTAAATTATGAACTCGAGTGAGTTACTCACTAATGAAAAAAGTCAATAGAATTGACAATTTTTAATTGTTGATCTATAGGAAAAGTCGTAAACAACAAGCCACAGCTCGTTTTCATATGTTAAAACGAAAATATTTTGCTCATCCAAATGATGTTGTCGTTAAACAAGAAGTGAAGAATCATATACAATTTTTACACAAAAACTATCCAAGTACGAAAGTTAAAACTCGATTCTGATGATGAGATCTAACGTATCTTTGCTTTTAAGAACGATGGGATATCGATACATTAGCAAATGGTTTTGGATTATCGAGAGAAGATGTGCAATTAGGTAATGTGAACTTTCTTCGAAAGTGATTTCTTAATTTTTTTTACTACAATTGAGAAATGTGATTAGCAGAAAGGTCAGACAACCCTTGGTAATGTACTTGCTGCAGGTATTTGATTACTTGCTGAGTACTTGAGAAGTACTTGACAAGTTTCCTCGCTTGAACAAGAACTTGGCAAGCGTTTTTACTTCTTAAGCTCTTGCCCAAGTACTCACCAAGTATCTTTACTTAATTCGCTTCAGCCAAGTACATGGACGAGTCAATCACTCTTTCTTTTGCATTAATAAATTGTATAGAAACGTCACAGTATCAATCAGTACAAACTTAGACAATAAATTTAGATAATTCTACTGAGTTGAACAAATTTGGTAGCCATGCATGCGTCCTTTTTATTAAGTTTTGTGGTTATAAACTCTTCCTGTTTTACATTTATTTTACAAATTAGATTGAAAATTAAAGACGTTTCGGAAGATATCTATCTTCTCCCTTCAGTTTAAGAAACAATTGAACTATTTTGAAGAACACACAATGGACACTTTTATTTCTTTTCTTTTCTTTTTCTTTATACTTTTTCCTATTTCTTAATAGTGGAATGGACGACTAACAGAACGGTAGAACTGGGACAGAGACGAAACTATTCTTACATAATTTCTTCTTCGTCCGTTCTACTATTACCGTCACGTTGCTCATTATTCTTTGACTGTCTCTTTGATCGTAAAAATTCAATCTTCCTTTTGATTTGGTATGTGTTCTTGTGCAACAAAGGTATCCATGCCTGATCTATGTCATTATGTCTGTTTATGGATTTGTTAATAATTGAATCTTTAATTTTCAATCTAATTTGTAAAATAAATTTAAAACAGGAAGAGTTTATAACCACAAAACTTAATTCAATGCCCTTCCAAACTATTACACAATTATCTTTTTGAACAAGATTTCCGAAGAAAGTTCAATGAAGTGTACATTTAGTATTAAAACAACGAACAACAAAAAATCTTCGAGTCAAAAAACAAAAACCAGAGTTGAGCAATAAACTAAATGAGGACGATGTACAAGCGCAAGAAGAATTCATGGCAAAAGATCACGATATGAAACGTGATCGTGACGACGAAGATGTTGTTGATTATCAGATACTGGCAGAAGCAACAAAACTTTCTAAACATACAAGGCCATCGGATATGTATCTCGAGAAAAGAGTAAGCACATGAATGCTTTGAATATCACAAATGTAATCCTAGAAAAACAGTGTGGTCGAGAAATATACTCCTATGCCAATGGGATTGTTAGTACTCATCTTTGTATTTAGAATGAAGGCTTCTTTTCAAGTGTTATTGCTACCGCTGATAAACGTGAGCAAGACAAAATCGATTATGAACGTCCATTATTGTCTTCTGGAAATAAATCATCAAATGTCAATAATATTTCATCACTCTTAAATGAAATTGATCTACTGCGTCCGCATGGCTCATCGCATAACTATGAACAAATGTCATATAAGAATGTTGATCAAGTGGAAGATCG